CTATCCACATGATTAAACGAATAAAAATCAAATATTAACAATACTCGGGAGTTATAATATTATATTATTGTGTACTTGTCTTCTGATGACAATAGCATGGGGTTATTACTTATTTGTTTACGGTGGTTTATTTCAACAAAAGCACGATACAACAATGACAAACTTCAAACAAAAATCCAAGTCATAATAATAACGACCACACAACCGCATAATATTGTAATTTATCGATTTATAGTCGTACAGTCGTATTAAAGGTAGGTGGCGCAAAAATAGAAAATTCCTCACAACTTTTGGTTTCCACTTTTTCTCCGGCAAACTAAGTAGATTTCGATTTCATTGTTGCACACACACACACACAACACACACACACACACATAGGCAGTATTATCATTGGGCTGTCCGCGCACGTATGAATAGGAGAAACGATAAGCCTTGTCTTTGAGCACGTATACACTCAGAGCTGTCAGCGGGCGCGAATGAATATATTTTATTTTTAAAACGAATAATATTTCGCAAAAACCGCAAGTCATCAATCACAAGTGGGTAAATGCCGGTGATGTAGTGCCACAAGTAAGAGGAGAAAAGTGAAGAAGAAAAAAAAAATATAAAATATATATACGAAACGATCTTGCCATCTGCTTGATACCGTTCCAGTCAAACAGTTTTATCACTCTGCGCTACACGACGTGTTTCCTCATAAATCTACGGCCGTCAAAATTATTTTTATTTTTCATTTCTCCTCCCCCCCACCCCCCATCGCCCAGTCCCGTATATAATTTTATCATTTCGAAAGCGACATGATTGATTTCCGTTGTAGTGGTCGACGCCGTTGTTGTTTCAATCATTTTTCCAGTAAAGGTCCACTTATAATCGAGGCGTCTCGCCTCGCGGAAACGTTTAAAATACATTCGACTATCGGATGATGCTACGACCGAACAATTTAGTGATATTAAACGCCATCCTCGTCCCTTGAAGTCGACTGAAATTTGCATGTCCGAAAACCCAAATCTTGTGAGAAATAAAAAAATGTCCGACACGAGCTGCGACAATATATAAAATAAAATCATAATATCAAGTCAAATATTTCTATTGATTTATTTTCAAGGTAGGTAGTACGCGTTTTATACAAATACAAATTTAATTTAAAAGATTATTCATATTTAAACATTTACAAAATATTATACTTTTGTGATATTATTAATACAACAATAATATTGTAACTTAAGCCACTATTAATAATAGGTACTACAATTTTTTACATTTTAAATTTAAATATGCTAACATATATTGTGTATTTATCAAATGATCACTGTTCACATATTATTATACACATCACTCTTCCCAATATTTTAAAACATAATGTCTAGATATTTTCTCCGTCCTTGTATCTGAAAAACAATAATATATTTTGGTATTATTTTAACGTGGAATTATGATTACTTAAGTTAACGTAATTATCACAAGAAAATACGTAAGCGTTTTATTCTTATTCTTATTTCTTAATGTCCACCAACTATCCGAAATATGTTTTATACATTTTATTTTATCAAAACAATAGCAGCTATAAAAATATCGCGAGTGACGTATTTTCTTGTATTTGATTTGAAATCAAATGTGTAACGAAAATAGCTGCTTAACAACAGTGCATAGTTTTTGAATAATATTACATAATATGGAAACCCTGCACCAATGGCGTAGAAAAAGGGGGCGTGGGGGCCAGACCCCCCCATTGGATTTTTATTACCTTAGTAAAAAGTTTTGAAGGGGTGAGGGATTTTCCAATTTTGACCCTCCTAGCTATGTAGTTTTCTTTTTTTATCCCCCCCCCCCATTTCAAAAATCATGTCTACGCCACTGCCCTCCACACACACACACACACACACACACACACACACACACACACACAGAAAACTACTCAATATTCATCAATCACAGAATTAAAAGCATTGACAGCGACGCCAAATATTTAAAATGGAATTTGACATGTTTTGTTATTGTCGAATACACAAGCAGAAATATGACTCAAAATTTCGGAGAGTTTATTAAACTAATATCATATTAGATATAAAATGTAAGATAAAAACTAAATAAGTTAATAAATGTTCGATGTACGCATACACGTAGGTAGGTACCTACTATACTTTATGAACTCACAAATGGCACAATAAATTAATTTATATTTCACTAGGTTCTACAATAGAATATTGACGACTTAAACAAACAAATTTTAACGAATGGATCACATCTATTCGAACGGTTTCCGTGGCGATACTGACTGAAATATATTATGCATAAGTGCAAAAGCATTTGAATATCGAACCGAGTAAAATATCAATAATATTATAAATTATGTAATGATACAATAATTATAGAACGAGACCGTAGGCGTATCTAGGGGGGAGGGGCTTAGCCCCCCAGAATTATTTGTATTTCATTTAGTTTATAGTGTTTTTTTTTATTATTATTATTATTAATTGTTTTTGCAGAACCCCCCCCCCCCCCACCAATATATTTGATCACTCTACGCCTATGGATAAGACACTATTGTCAACAGTAATATTGTTTTGCACGCATACTGTAAAATTTAACGACGTAAAAATAAGGTAAACATAAAAAAGACACCTGTCAATAGTCTTATCAAAATCGGATGTTAAAATTGAGAACCTGTATGATTCTACATGCACTTAATAGGTGCATAAAGAAAAAAAACTAGTAAAAGTACGTGATATTTTATGGTATTAATTTAAATTGCAGTATGATAGTTTTTTCTATGCCTGTGATTATTAATTAATCACACCGTGTTAGCTGATCGTTTTGGGATATGCAATGACGTGCAATGGTGCTTGTGTGACGTGTGTTCGCGGGAATGAAGATAATAATATTGTGACGAGAGCATCGAAAATATGTCGAGTGTTTGCCGATCTAAAACCCCCTGACCGCGAGTACACGATAGGTACTTTAACTTAAAACGATAACAGGTGGGTATAAAATAACCATAGGCGTGCGCACGGAGTGGGCCAGGTGGGCCGTGGCCCTCCCTGCGAGCTGTAACATACTGATTATATAGATGGAAACTTAGATCAAATACATAGTTGTATTGCCTTATTCTGTGGCATAAACATTCCGATTTTTGATTTTTTTATATCAACAAAATTAACGAGATTCTATTGAATCTATAAAACAAAAAATGGTTCCATTTAATCGAGGGTAAGGTAAATTGCGGGCATATATCACAACCTAACCTCGATAGGTTAGGTTGTGACTTAAGGAAAATAATATGCAAATGCATATAAATCCTAGCCCTACTTGTGAATAAAAATATATATATTATTATACCTTGAAATTTAAACAGTAGGTGATGACCGTTGAGTAAATGAATGTAATTTTATAGATAACAGTGTTTAAAATAATTTGTTTCAAGTATCATTGGCCGCCACTCTGCCACAACGGGCTGCTCACGCCTATAAAGATAACACGTTGGTGTAGAAGCACAAACGCACACGTTACAACATGTATGGTACAAAAAGTAAACAAAATCGAAAGTGGATTGATTATAATACAGCTAGGATATTCAGCAATCGTATAGTGTTATTATTGCATTTCGGCGTGTTCATATATTTGGCAAATAATCGGCCTTAGGCCTTCAAATAATACCTAACCGAGTGGTGCGGTATCGAACACTGTTACCAGACGCCTCACTCGAAGGTATAAAAACCGTACGAACGGCGCTAGAGACCGCTTCGAGTGCTTTCGAACAGAACAAAAATAAATAATTTTAAATTGTTTCACTATTGACAATATTACATTTTTTTTTCTCTCTGGTACCTATCGTTAACAAAGTATATGTGTCACGGAATTCGTTATTGTGAGATGTTTTGATGGCGTTCATATTTACAGCCTTATGTAGTCTTATAGTCTTTGCTAAAAACAACGCCATGCTTATAGCACCTCTATTAGGTTTAATTGGTTCAGAACGGTTTTAATTCCAAACGATTAGTATTATACCTGCAGCCAGTGGTATAGTGGAGGGTACACGGCGTGTACTCACCTCCTAATTTTAAATTAATTCGTGTACCCTTATCTAAAATAGTGGTTTGAGGGTACACGGACCATCCGTATTAACGTTACCCAATTATACTTAGTCAATAAAATGTATTAAGGAAATATTATTGGGTAATATAACTCGTATATTAAATTACAAACAATAATTCAATAACAAAAAAAAGATAAGCGTAATTTGCTTACTATAAATAGTAATAGTAATAAAATTGTCATAGAAAAATATAGAAGCGAAACTCGATCAGCTGATTAGGTTTACGTTTACCTACCTATGATCTGAAGTCTAAACCTAGGAAACGAGCCCGTTATGATGTTACTATGTTAGATCCTTATTTACCCGTATTCAGAAAAGACTATATCGAAAGTATAAGAAAAGTTAATATACCACTACAGACCCAAACCAAGACCTAAAATACAAACTATGGGAATTACTTGAATAATATAAAAATATTTTATAATAATAAAAAATAATAATAATAATATGTTTCATTAATTTGTTAATTATATTTTAAGAAAAATTATTATAGTTATGCATTTTTTTTAATGGATTATGTGTTTAAAATATATCAATCAAAATTTATGAGGTTCTATCGTATATTATATGGACAAATAGATGAAGTATTGTACGAGTTTCAAATAATGGTGTAGGACTGGGGGGTTTGGGGGGCATATCCCCCCCAAGTTATTTTTTGCAATGATTAAGGCGTGTACCCATGCATTTTTTTAGGACTACATCACTGCCTGCAGACTATATTATATTATTATATTGATAAAGGTACCCCTTTTAATAATAAAACAAAAAGCTACAGAATAAGTAATTTATTATGAGTCGAAAAACTTCATTATATTGTACGGTGTGACTCACGTGTAACATTCATTGACAATAATTGTAAAACGTCGGCTGCCAACACGGAAGATCCAATATTCTAAGACGGCTTATTTTAAAACCCATAGAATATGCACACGTTTTCGCATTCTTCGAATGTGTCAAATCGATTATCGTTGCCACCACAACCGAAGTAAATGAATTCCGAGCAGTCGTCATTAGTCGAGTCAAAGTAGTATTTTACTCTCAGAGTCAATCGATTTCCGCAACTGCCTTCGTCTGGTGGCAGGAAACAGCGACCTGCGGGTAGGTATAACATATTATTATATAAACAATAGGTGCATCGACAATTATTTTAAAGTGCACTGCGACGAGTATTATTATGGGTGGGGGGTATAATGACAAAAACTAATGGCTAAATTAATTTAACCATTTTTTTTTTCAAATCTTATCAAATAAAATTCATCAAATACGGTGTACCTCCGTGTCTGCGCAGTTACCTCCTTAAAATTATGTACCTAATACTATATCCATCGTGCGTTTTACAAAGGTCGATATTATTATATTATTATTAATTGATGATATTATACGATTTGGCAATGCACAAAAGCCATAATAGATAACCACTAATCACACTGTCTTTGTGAAGTACGTTGATTTTTGTTACCTACCTACCTATCTATCTACCTACCTGTGCACATTAAATTACAATGATTAACAACCAAAGACATTTGCACAGACCGTTATAATTATTTTCAACGTGCTATTGAATTATATAATATTATCTGAGATCAAAAAGGTCTAAAGTAGTTACTTATATTATAGGCTGGTACCTGCGCACATCAATTACGATTACTTTTATTTCCGTTAAAAGGTTTGCGCATTATCTTTAATAATAATTAAAACTATAAAACATTAAAACGTTGCCAATTATTTTATTGTGCTAGACCAACAATGATCGATTAAAAGTTAAAACCTATCGATAATAACCACCGGCAAATAATTAGGTGTAATAGAATCGAGCGAACAATTTTATTATTTGTAAATATCTTTAAAATTGAATAAGTCAACATTTAAACTGTTAAGTACAAAAAATCGAATACCTAGATATTGCAGTAATAGGTTAATAAATTACATAGCTAGGTGTTAAAATGGGTCATAATTGTTTTTTGTCTTCGAACATTGACTAGCATATAGTGACGAGAATAACTTATAAAATTCTATACTTATTAAATTTTATTTACTTTTAATAGAATATTCTGCTCATAGCCCATAGGTTCTATTATTCCATAGTAGGTATACCTTTTTGATGGAACGCATAGGAACACATTTTGGCTAAATCGAAGATAGCATAAAATGATATAATATAGTGTAATATTTACGAATTTCTTAGTCAAGTTAGGTTATTTTTTCTGTAAAGGATTCAAAAAACAAAGGACAAATAAATTAACTATCATTATTTTATACTATGAAATAACACTTTAAAATTTAAACATATTCAATCGATTTTTTGCAGTTTTCAACAACAAGAAAGAATAAACCATAATCATTTGCATTTTTATACATTTACAAACATATCGTTAAATATGAAGTTATACATTTATAATATTATCTTTGTATAAAAGTGAAAATAAGTTTAAATGACGTCCATTATTACTGTTGTTCGTTCAACAAACCATTTAATTTGAATATAAATAAATGATAACCGTAATAAATTAGAAGACAATATCACTTACATTTCTATCATAGTAATGATTTCTATATTTAAGGTACCTATTTTCTTTAGAGTTTAGACTATATAGAATACATTAATTGTCAACAAAAACTTAAATATTTTATGTTACTTTCGCTAACTCGGTATAAAATTGAATCAAAACGTTAATTTTAACTAGAATGGGGATGTCATATATATATATATATATTATATATCTGTACAAAAATAACAAAATTATGGGCCCATCGGGAACTTTTGCAATATTATAAAATTAAATATTGACCACAACATCGATAAAACTAAAATCGAACGTAATTTTAAAACCTTAATTACAACCTGCACGTCCAATACACTCGTTTGAACATCCTTTGTCAGAATAACGTACATTCATATAATAATATATTTTATTTTAATCAGTTTTCAATCAATTTGCATGTGGGAAATGGAAAAATGCAAATTTTATAAAATAAAGCCAATGAAAAAAATTGTTTATACAATTCTTTACTCTTAGAGCACAAAAACATTTCAACTGTATATTATTAGGTAAAAACCAGTTTGAAAAAAAAAATAATAATAAATCTAATATTGTTAAAACTTAAAAATGTGCACGAATGAACTACAAAAACATAACCGAAATGGCTCTTTTTTTTTTCAAGTATAGGTGTCTCAAAATTGTCACAGGCTCTTGGATAGTCTATCACGACTTTTTTGGAAACTGGTCCTGAGTACAATTTTCCAAAATATCATTCGTATGTTTTCCGATCCAAAGATATATATTTACGGGAGACTATAGTGCGGCTTCTATGAAAAAAAAAATCAATAATAACACGCAAAACAGGACGAACACACGTCGTATACCACATAAATCGGCGGCATCCGAATTGGGTCCTGAATTCAAATATGCTATACTAGTTGGGCCCAGGATTTTTGCAGGTACTACACTAGTTGGGTCCGGGATTTATGCAGGTACTACTGTAGTTGGGGTCTTAATTATTTTTATTTTTGAGTACTACATAAGTTTATTTTCCTTCCCATTTTAACAGACTTAGGACTGTCTATTTAGACCAAAGTTATGGTTAAAAATGTTTTTTTACAGTTTATTTTTTTAGTTTATTTGTCATTAAAAATATAAATTATTAGAATTTTGTTTGAATAATAAATGGCAATAACATGCAGGTACTAAACAAAGAAAAATATTAAAATTGTTATAAATCAAATATAAAAAATACATAGGTATTGTATAATATAAATAAAATATTGTTTAAAGAAATCACACGTGTGTTGGTAAAAATGTATAAGACATTAATTTTGCAAAATCAAATAGATTTATTATTCCTGCATTTTTTTGATTCATTTTGTCTTTTATTAATTTTGATAAATTGATCGTTGTAATATTTAAAAAAATGACTTACATGATCTCTGAATGCATCTCCATCGTGCAATATCATTTTTCGTTTGGATTGTATATTTACTTAAAATAATCCCAGACCCAAACTAGTGTAGTACCCAAAAATATCCTGGACCCAACTAGGTAGTGTAGTACCTAAAAAAAATCCAGGACCCAACTAGTGTAGTACCTGCGATTTATCCCTAGTACTCGGGACCCAACTCGGATGCGCCGCATAAATCAATAGCGTCATAAAACCCAAATACATCAAAAATTAAATTAAACATTAAAAAATTAAAAAAGACTATTATTTTTAAAAAAATATTATATTATAAGATGTAATAAAATAAAAACGTAATCTAGATCAGCAAAAAAAAAAAAATTGCAATTATCATCGGCTAACAGTGTAAAGTCCCTAATCTCAGTAATTGTATTATGCGTAGTCATCCTATAATGGGTATTATATACTTCTGTTTTAATCATTAGGTCAAAGAATCATTTAATAAAAACTAGACAAAACAATATTGTCACGTACGTTTCGCGTACGGTGAAAACGTTTCGGAGATTAAAAAATACGTTTTATTATCACGCGAGATCAACATAAGACAAATAAAGGTCGCAGGGTTTTCTAAGCAAGACGAATGGTCTTCTCCCCCGTTTTATTTATTTAATATTATTATTATTATTATTTATATTTTATTTTTTGTTTTGAAAACGATCTCTCGCAAATGGTACAAAACTAAAAGTATTTGTTATTTTAGTTGTGTGCGCCGCGCCGTTTTCCCCGTCCCGTCTCCGTCGCCCACTCTTTTTCTTTTTTTATCTATTCCTTTCGGAATAAATCTGTCGTCCTTAAGACATTATAAGTGACAACAATTTGTTTCCGTATTCCACGGCCGTCGTTAAAAGATTTATCTTGATCGCGCACGCACCCCGCACCCGCCCCCGAGTCGCGGGGGGGGGGGGGGGGGGGGGGTTCACGATATTCCATTAATGTATTACAAAGACAAAACGAGTGGGGCGGAAGTGAAAAGCGTCGCTGAGCAATCGAGCTCCGGGAAAAAAAAAATACCATATATATATATAATGATTTTCGCATTGTATGAGCTTTGGGCCGGAATTCCAACGGGAAACTATCGGTTATGGCTTTTATATATTATATACATAACATATATATATTGTATTGCGTGTGGCCAATCGGTCACGGCGGTTTTCTTTGTTTTGTTTTGTTTTTTTTTTTTTCGCTACTTCAGAATCACAGCAGTAATCGTTTTTTATGCGATACAGAGAGTGGCACCTCTCCGCGGGTTTCGGTGCAGCAGGAGAGAGTTCCAAACGAATCAATTACAAAAGTTCAGAGCGTTTATTACCGCGTTTCCAGCGATTGAATCGAACGCGGTATAATAATATAATAGGTAATGATAACAATAATATTGAATACCGAATAAACTTTTCGTGTCCGCAATAGTCGTCGAGCCGTTATATATTTTGGGGGGGGGGGGGGGTGCCTACTGGGGGTGGTGTTGTATTATATCGAGTCGTAAGGACTCCTACCCCGCGAGTTCCACGATGTAATAAAATTGTCGAGTTGAACCAGGGACCGGAACCTCACCGAAAAGAACCGGTTTTGGAACCGGAACCCTTATTTAAATTAATTTGAAAAACCGGAACCGATACTTTTAATTGACAAATTTTTTTTCCACCAGTAAAAAACCGAATCAAGTAACAATTTTTTTATTTTTGAGAACCGAAAATAGAAACCGAAACCTAAATATGTTAGAACCGAAATTTTAGTTTTTCCTGGAACCGAATAGGAACCGGAACCGTAAAAATCATCGAGTCCCTGGTTCAGCAAGGTCGTAACTGGAAAAAAATTTCGGGGGGGGTCTAACATATTTTTAAATATAGATACTTAACACTTCATTTTTACGTTAAAAATATAAAATTTTATTATTATCATTATTAAAAACATAAGTCATTATTATAATATTCAATTTACATAAACATAGGTAATAGTTGATTGTTTATATACATATAGACTGATTCAAATTACTTAAAAGCACAAATTAAAAAAAGATAAAATAAAAAATACAATTTTTTCAATATTAAATTTACAAAATAATTATTAATTTATAGTCTATAAGCATGCAATATGTTGACTGTTTTATATTAGTAAAATAGCTCTATCTTTTTGAAGAG